TGTAACAATTTTTATCCTACTTTTTGTAACATACATCACTCAGTAAAAATAATATCAAACGGGATGCGATAATGAGAATGTGATGACCAGCATTTTTAGAGCATTGTATTTTAGTGACCTAAATAGAAGAAAGAAACATGTTGCACCGACCATGTTTGACTGAACCACAGACACATGCGTTTTCATGATGTCCTAAATCGTGCATTCAACATGGAGTGCACCATAATTTGACTTAATTTGAACAAGTGAAAGGAAAAGAGGAAAAGTGCCATACGCTCTCGACTATAGCGAGACTGGTATTTTGCGCTGCATTTTGAACGTAACAGGGCTGCCCATGTTGCACAAACTCCAAAGTCCTTGTTCTTTCGTACTACATGTATTTAAATAAACACAGAAGCAACGTGTAGGCAGCATGTATCAATGAGGCTTTGGTGTTGCTTTGAAGATTGTTGTCTCCTATCTATACAGTTTCAATCTTGTAGGACGCGAGTTGTTTTGGCCTGCCTGTTACGCCAGCCAGGGGTGAGTGGGTGTGGTACAGCATTTCAGCAGAAAGATGGAGATACATGTTGTGTGCTAACAGTGCGCAAAGGCTGTGGTTAAATAACGTAGGATAACAATCATGTAAAAATGTTGAGCAATTCAGTTTAATCTGTTTGTGAGATCTTTGGCCTAGCGTGTAGTCCAAAGCGGGGTATTCACATATTATGGAAGCTTTTAAGCACAATGGGGGGCTATCCCGAAAAATGCTGTTTTGGAAAATCGAAGGTAAAGTTTTTGCCCCTCGTTCAGTCTCTTTAAAAGACAAGGAAATTTTTTTTTCTATAACAAAACAATAGGGCAATGTCCACTTTTGGTGAAGGTAATGATTTCTGGAAATTCCCGAAATCTGGGTTAGCCCGCTTGTCCTTAAAAGTGACCATATAATTTTACTTGACGAGAGAGACTTCCCAAATCCAGGAATCGAACGTGTATCTTTTGAATGCACGGGTGAAGTCTCCTGTAAGAAAGTCATCTCGTGTTCCAGTCAAAAGGATAGTATGGTGCACCGTACGGCTGTTTGATAAGCAGGACCTCCGATTTGTCATCCATATCTAATTTGACTGAGCCAAGTGAGTAGTCATTAAGACTCTCTCCTTATAACAATCCAAGTTCAAAAACGCCCCATTGGGGATTGGAACCAGGTCAATCCACTTCGTTATCTAGCATGATGATACCAACTGAACCAACAGTGCTCAAACGCTGTGGTTAAAGAAAGTAGAATAACAATGCTATTTCTTTTAAAAGACGATGAGAAATTCAGTTTAACCTAACCTGAGTGTCAAATCGTTGGCCTAACGTGTAGTCCAAAGCAGGGTATACCACATAATATAACTTTAATTTGGATTTTGTCGATTCTGTACAATTGAGAAGACGACATGTATTCCTTCCTCACATTACCATACATGTGTTTGCGTATCCTTACACACA